ACCGGCCGCTCGGCCATACCCGAGGCACTACCATAGGTGACTCGCACGTTTCTACCGATATCGGCATCGTCGCCGATTCTGACCTCAAAACCCACCTGACTTTCCAGAAGCCGGAGCAGGCCAAAGGCCCGACGGGACGACCGGCCTCGCGGAGTCGCTGCTCCCGTCCCCTGGCTTGCACTCCAATCCCGGACCCCACGCGGCATGTGGCGCACCACGCACGCCCTGACGTAGTACTCCCTCCGGGGAAGCATACAGGTCACTTTAACTAAATTTATAATAAATAATATTAATATTTATATCTCTAAATAAATATATTATATTCTATAACTAATCTAACTATACTTATTTTGTATCATAAATATTAATATTTTTATATAATTTCAGTTAATGTTCAAGAAGCTTTAGTTTTCGAAAAGCGAGAATTACATTGACGGAGGGAGCAGTAGACTATTAGGCTGCCGCTGCAGATGCGCGGAGCGGTCGGCGGCTCGCGGAGGCGAACGGCGAACCAGCGCCCGTGTTTCTGTTTCCTTTCTTCCCTTTAAAAACACGGCAAAAACTACCCGATTACGGCACGACACGCGCGGGGTCGCACTCAGCACGAGCAGACCCGACGTCTCCAGACTGCAGAGCATCAGTCGAGGAGGAAGTGTGGGGGAAACGCGCGTGACGTCTGGCCGCGTACGCGCCTCGCTGCCGTCGCCAGGACGACCAGGATGGCAGCCGAGGAGATGAGACGGACCTCGGCGGCCGCGGCCACGGCGGAGGCGCCGGCAGCGCCGGCGCAAGCGGGGTCGAAGTGGGCGCGGGTGTGGCCGAGCGCGCTCCGGTGGATCCCCACCTCCACGGACCGCACCATCGCCGCGGAGAAGCGACTCCTCTCGATAGTCAAGTACGACCTCGCCCTTCTCCATTTTTAGCGAGTATCAGTAGTATGCTATGTGGATTGATTGATACTTCAGGCTTTTCATTTCACTGGTGCAGTACAGCTAGTTTACTTGTTCGATTTACCGGAACAGCTAGTCACTTTCGCCTTCCAATTTATCAAAGAGTATTCTTTGTCAAATTGCGTGTCAATTGGTACAAATTTCAGGCTCTTGACCAGAACAGCTGCACGGTCGCTTAGCTTGGAAATACACTGCATTTGCGCCGGTGCTAATTTGGCGATTGGTTGTTGGTTCATCTGTGATCTAGCTCGGCTAAGATTAAGGTCCCTTTGAATGTTGATCACGAAGCTAAGATTTTGGGACTGTAGGAAAATGGCGTGCCTTTGCCCTGTCATGAAGTCTGGCTGGGCTATTGCTGCAGTTTCACTGCAATCTGCTATTAGTGCTGCAATTGACTGCTAGCTAAATGCAAAGCTGCAAAGGTTATCGAGCAAACAGTTTATGAGTTGTACTAACTGAAATGTTGGGGACTCGAAATCATACCTGTAAGTTTTCTTAAAAAAAACATAACATTGTTGCTTAAGTACTGTCATTCATCTGAACCTAGTGTTTGATTGTAAGCACACGGTTGCTTCTGATTATACTGAAATGTTGCAAGCTGTCTGAAAGAGTGAGGTAGGAACTACATAGCATGTCTTAGTATAATATATTGGTTCATTTTCAACTTGTGTAAGAAGTTATAAAATACCATACTACCCCTATGGCACTGCTAGTCGATATGTTTTGTTGTCTGCTAATTATTGTTGCATTGCATGGATGTTTAATGTTGTATTTATTTGTGGCTTCTATCTTTGTTGATGATTGGGCCTTTATCATTTCATTCTAGATATTATGTCTCTCTTTTGTATTCTGTTGTACATGACACACCTTTGATTTTGTCTTTACAGAACTGGGTATGTCCAGGAACATGTCAACATTGGCTCTGCTCCACCTGGGTCAAAAGTAAGATGGTTTAGGTCAGCAAGTGATGAACCAAGGTTCATTAATACTGTAACATTTGATGCCAAGGAGAACGCTCCCACCCTGGTTATGGTCCATGGCTATGGAGCTTCACAGGGGTTCTTCTTTCGAAACTTTGATGCCCTTGCAAGCCGTTTTAGGGTGATTGCCATTGATCAGCTTGGGTAAGTTTTGATAAAAATGGCACAGAATAATCTTTGTTGTTGATCACTATAGGTCTTCAATTAGTAGTGGATTTATCGCAATCAAGAAGAAAAAAGACTTTATTTCAATTATAAATGATCTGTTCCTTAAATTTTAAAATGTCATGGCATATGGTTTAGCGTCATCCATTCTCATTTTATCTTCCTCTGATGCATTTGATGGCACTATAGCATTGACGTTTCTCATTCCTTTTGCAGCTGGGGTGGTTCAAGCAGACCTGACTTCACATGTAAAAGTACCGAAGGTTGATACTTCATTCTTTACCTGCACAAGTTTAGATATGATATTAGTTCTTTTACCATGTTAATGATAACCCACAACTGTCGTTAGCTTTTAACTTTCTGCATCATTTATCATGCCATGTTCTCTAATTTTCTGATGGTATTTTGATACGTTATTTTCTATGAAATCTTAGTGGTTTTAACCATTTTATGAAGCCTAAATAGTTTTGTGCCACCAAATTCATATATCAATTCAGTTCTTCTCATATGCTTATGAGTGGTGTAGTAACAAGTTAAAATCTTTTGCCTCTCTTATGGGTGTGTTTGTAAACAGAAACTGAGGCATGGTTCATAGATTCTTTTGAGGAATGGCGCAAGGCCAAGAACCTCAGTAATTTTATATTGCTTGGTCACTCCTTTGGAGGATATGTTGCGGCAAAGTATGCCCTAAAGGTATGTTCCTAAAACATTTACCACATCCAGTGTCTACATTTATGCCAATCATCACTAACAACTCAGTCATATTTCAGCACCCTGAACACATTCAGCACTTAATTTTGGTTGGTCCTGCTGGCTTCACGTCAGAAACAGAGCATAGCTCTGAGTGGTTAACCAAGTTTCGAGCAACATGGAAAGGCATGCTAGTGAATCATCTTTGGGAGTCCAATTTTACTCCCCAAAGAGTTATTAGGTAATCTAAGCTTATTGCACTTATTCTTTTTTTTTGAAGCATTACGTATTACAAACTAAAATTTCATGTGACTCTATTTGTTGTTTTGCCCTCCATTCCAAATTGTAAGTCGTTTTAGCTTTGTCCTAAGTTAAACTTTTATAGTTTTATAGCTTTGGCCAAGTAGAAAAATGTATAAACATATACAATATCAAATAAGATTCGTTAGGTACACTATGAAATATATTTTGATAGCACGCTTATTTTTGAAAGAGTTGGTAACCCATTTATTTGATATGTGATAGCCATTTATTTTTGAAATATATTTTGATAGCACACCCGATTGCTCCAATGGGAAAAATATGTGAGGCTTTGTTGCAAAAACAAAGAACAATGTTCTTTTCTTTTTTTTTTTGGTAGGTGCTCCTACTTTTGTCCTTATATTTATCTGTTTTCTCGAACAGAGGATTGGGTCCTTGGGGTCCAGGTCTAGTACAAAGATATACCAGTGCCAGGTTTGGTACACGTTCAACTGGTGATATACTAACAGATCAAGAATCGACATTGTTGACAGGTATTTTTTTGGTTAATAACTAACGCAGTAAATGTGTTATTTCTTATTATACTTGCAACTGAACCTTATTGTTGTTTTGTCATGTGTGAAGATTATATTTACCATACCTTAGCTGCCAAAGCTAGTGGAGAGTTGTGCTTGAAATATATATTTTCCTTTGGGGCATTTGCAAGGAAACCTCTTCTGCAGTGGTTAGCTTCTTATACTTATCTACTTGGTTAACTGTTCTCTGATATGATCGTTCACAATACAACAATTAGTCTCTTGAAGTCATGGAATTCCATCATTTTGAAAATAATATCCAGGAGGCCTGCATGATATCTGTAAAATATTTTTCATGTGGAAACTAAATTATCACTTCAAGGGGCGGTTAATTCTAGACGCAACAAGTTGTCCAAACAAACATTCTGAATGTTAAATCATCATCTCATTTGGAATAAATGGAGTCTCTTGATGTATCATGATGTTTTATTGTCCTTTAACTTGCAACAGCGCATCCGATTGGAAAGTGCCGACTACTTTCATATATGGGCAGGAAGATTGGATGAACTACCAAGGGGCTCAGCAAGCACGGAAGGACATGAAAGTTCCTTGTGAAATAATCAGGGTGCCACAGGTAAACTTTTCATGCTGGCAATGTTGCATAGTCACGAATTACAATTTTACAATACTGGTTCAAGGACTAAACTTCAGTGGTCACGTGCTGCAGGGTGGACATTTTGTGTTTATAGACAACCCTTCAGGGTTCCACTCGGCTGTCTTCTACGGGTGCCGTAATCTTTTACCTCCAAATGGGGAGGAGGGCTTCACATTTCCTGATGGCCTAATATCTGCGTGAAGTGGCATGTTCAACAATCTTGTCGTGCCCAACAATAGCTTATATGGAGCAAAGATATACGATGGTGGAAATCTTTGCACATTTCCACCAATTTGGAAATATTTGTGCCTTCTTCCACCAATTTGTTTGTATACGGATTATGCCGTGTATATATTCTGTGATGACTGTAAGAAACATGATGTATTAACATTATGTAATGTATGTATGATTCTTTATTTGATTTTCGAATTGCAATACGCAAGAACCATTTTCTTGCAGTGATTCAGTGTGCTTGCTAGTAACGCAGAAAGCACCTCTCCATTCCTTCAGACAGTTTGATACTTGCGAGGTAACATCACTTGGTGAGGGTCAGTTTGATCCTGTTTAAAAGTTGGTCTTTTAAAATTCTATATTCCTGTCAAATGGTTTTCTATAAAGTTTCAAGAAATTGTTGTGCGAAGTACTTCGTAAACTTTGAACGGCAGCTCACACAACGCAAACCAGCTAACCTTTCTCCCCAGACTCTCTCTCTCGCCTACTCAAACTTTGATGAGCCTACTAAGCCCACATGCTGCTGGTCGCGCGGCTGCACGGGTAGCAGAGCATGGCGGCGGGGGACGGGCCCTTCGCCGGCCTCGTCGCCGCCACCTCCCGGATTGCTTCCCTCGGCCGCGCGGGCGACGCGGCCTCCGCGTTCGCCGTGTTCGACGCCATGCCGCGGCGTGACGCCGTGGCCTGGAACGCCATGCTCACCGCCTACGCGCGCGCCGGGCAGCCGCGCGACGCGCTCGCGCTCTTCTCCCGCGCGCCCGCGCCCGACGCGTTCTCGCTCACCGCTGCGCTCTCCGCGGCCGCGGCACTCCGAAGCCCCACCTCCGGAGCGCAGCTGCACGCCCGCCTCCTCCGAGTCGGCCTGCGGGCGCTGCTCCCAGTGGGCAACGCGCTCATCGCCATGTACGCCAAGTGCGCCCGCGCCGAAGACGCCGCGCGCGCCTTCCGGGAGATGCGCGAGCGCAATGCGCTGTCCTGGTGCTCGCTCCTGCATGCCTATGCCGCCTCAGACCACTTGAGGCTCGCACAGGAACTGTTTGATGAAATGCCCAACAGAAATAATGTCGCCTGGAACACATTGCTTATGGGATATTCACGCAGCGGCAATGCTAACCAGTGCTTGCTTATCTTCAACAAGATGCGTATGGCTGGACTGACTTGTGATGATGCAACACTCTGCCTTCTTGTTGATGTTTGCACCGAGCTGCCCAACCCATCTGCTGGCTCTGCAATTCACAAGATTGTAGTGCAGAGTGGATGGAATGCAATGGCCGAGGTCAGTAACTCCCTGATTTCCCTGTATACTAAATTCAGTTTGCTTGATGATGCCGTGCGGATTTTTGAGTCCATGGAGGTGCAGACCATTGTATCGTGGAATTCACTGATTGATGCTTACATGAAGCTTGGCTGTGTAGAAAAAGCCACTTCTCTCTTCAGAAGTGTACCTGAGACCAATGTCATCTCATGGACTGCAATGATCGGAGGACTTGCAAGGAACGGCTGTGCTGATGAAGCACTCATGCTATTTGTCGAGATGTTGGCACACCAACACATCCATCCGGATGACTTCACATTTGGGGCTGTGCTGCATGCTTGTGCTACTGTGGCATCTCTAGCAAGTGGAAGGATGGTCCACTGTAGGGTGTTCCAAAGTGGGTTTGCATCCTACTTGTACGTGGCCAACAGCTTGATGGACATGTATGCCAAGTGCGGGGATTTGGAGGGTAGTACTAATGTGTTCAGTGCATTGTCAACAAGGACCTGGTCTCATGGAACACAATGTTGTTCGGATTTGCTATAAATGGATGGGCCAACGAAGCACTGGTGGTGTACGACAGCTTGAAATCCCATGAGGTCTGCCCCGATGAGGTGACATTTACAGGCTTACTCACAGCCTGTAGCCACTCTGGTCTTCTGGAGCATGGGAAAACCTTCTTCGAGTCGATGGTGTCTGTTCATGGAATTCAGCCAAAGCCAGAGCATATGTCTTGCATTCTTGACATGTATGCGAGATCAGGGAACATTACAAAGGCTATGGAGATGCTGGATCGTTATTCAGAAATGATTCAGACACATAACAGCGACATACGTGAAGCTCTGCTTAGCGCATGCTCTTTGGAACACCTGAATTTCAGTGTTGCAAGGAAGGCAGTGAAAGACATGGTGGCGACCAAGTCTGCGGGAGACGTGGGTTATGTCATGCTGTCCAACTTATTCTGCGTCACTGGGCAGTGGAACCAGGTTGAGCGGGTGCGAATAGCAATGGCTGAGTATGGCATCAAGAAATCACCTGGATGTAGCTGGATAGAGGTCCAAGGTGCTGTTAAGGTTTTTGTATCAGGTGCACAAGATCTTGATCATTCAGGTTCTGTATGGGATGTTATTAGCTTGTTGGATGGCGAAATGAGAAATATCATGCATTTTGATGTGTAGTCCTATAGGTCGTTATAGTGTCCCGCATGGAGTTTGTTCTTATATTCCAAATGGGACTTTCTTTGTTTCCGTATATGCTCCACGGCAAAGAAGTTCTAACTCTACTAATCTTGCTAACGAAAGCTCAAGCTGGTTCTGTTTGTGTTTATACCTCTACTATAACCTGCTGGTGGAAGGTGCCGATGGCCCAAGGGAAATTCAGAGGTTTAGGCCATCTTTGAGCATGAATATAATATGGGCTATGAGGCTGTTTGGTTGCCAGCCTTAGGGCATGTACAACGGGTCTCTTAGCCCGTCTCCACGACGTAAATTTCGCAGAAAACACCCTGCCGATGCTAGGAGACGGGGTCTGCGTCGTCTCGCGAGACGACGGGGAAGTCGCGTGGCCCGAGGCCGAGACGCCGCCTCCAGCAGCGTTGTACAGGTCGCCGGCGTCCCCAAGCCGAGAGCGCGGATCCAGTGCACGCGCATGCGGTTCCGGTACGCGACTGAGGGAAATCTCGCGCCAAATCTTTCCCCACCTCCCTATGTCGCCGGTGTCGTCGCATTCCATCCTTCAGCGCCGATGCTGGTGTCCGCTCCCGTCGTAGGCTGCCGCAGAGACCTGCGCCGCACGGCCGGCTCCGGGGAGGTGCCCTGCCTCGCCAGGTCAAGGCCGCCGAGGAGGAGCAGGGCTGCGCCGCCGCGGTCCTCGTCAGGCCCCAGCGCATCCATGTATTGCTCGTCGTCTACAGGTCGCCTGCCTAGCTTGTCTGCATGTTTGTTTATTCCCGCAAGTTGATATTCATGCTTGAATCATTTTTTATCAAACGGCAACACAATGGTATATAAATTGATATTCATCATTGATCTTGGCAACATGCGAAGCATTAAAATGCTTGCAGACGACCCCTCGTCTCTGAGTTGTATGATCTGTCTTTTTACTCATCTATACGTCAGATATCAGTCTCTTAGAGACGACCTTCCGTCTGTGGGTTGTACATGCCCTTAACTCGCCACGCCTCAGCTTTAGTGACCATAGGGTTTGGTTGGTATTTAATGTTAGCCACACCACAAATGTTTCAGTTCATTTCAGCGTGTTTTCTCGTCACAGTTGTGGCAGTGATTTTCCATGCCACTCTTTGGCACCGCGCACAACCGCGGTGTGACAGCGTGCGGTCGAAATCTAAACATCCCCTACATATGGTTTATACCTCTATAACCTGCTGGTGGAAGATGACGCACACGCACCTAGGGCAAAGAAACAAACATCATGAACCAATTGGCTCGGGGAGGTGGATCCAACCATTTTCCCCATTATTATCCTTCATCTTCACTAAACCACTGCATATGGGACAATGCTCTCTAACTTGGGCCTTGTTGGGTGTAGTAAGGATTGGAGGGGATTGAAAGGGCTTGAAGAGGATTAAATCCCCTACAAGTTAAAATCCCTATCGTTTCCCTTCAATCCACTTGAGAAGAGGATTAACCAAACAAGGTCTGATTGGAAGGGGATTAACCGAACAAGGCATTAAGGACCCTTTGGTCTCCACTTGATTTTTTTCCCTCTTCTGACAATGCTACCTACGTTTATGGATCCATAATAATGCATACATTAGGGAGGTGGAAGCCGACCACACGTTAAATCTTGCAGAAGCCTTATATATCTCCTCCATTCATAATCCAAATGGGGTGGTGATTTTTGAGTCGAAACCAATCATCTCAAAACGATCTACATCTTTCAAGTGATAAATTATGCATTTGAGGCCTTGCTGGGTTCAGGATCCTCATATGTCATCTAGTCACTTAGGTCCTCAAAAAAGGTGCATTCATTGGTTCATTCTCATACACCGAGCCTTTTTTTTTTACCGCACTCCTAACTTGCACCGAGCCTTGATCCTTTTTTTTTACGGAGAAAAACCCTGCTTTTATAAAGCCACAAAGTACAAGTAACAGACACAATCTGAAAAGAAAAGAACAGATAACGCCGGGGTTATCAGCTTACACCACGACCAACCAGTAACGAAACTAGACACACCGTTTTAAGCTTCCACTAGCACAAGCTACTGGAAGGAACCAACAGGAACAAAATCTAACAAAGAACAACTTCTAAGCGTGCAACTGCATCTTCATCCAATTGACCCATTTCTGTATTTTCTATGATTTATCAGTATACTCCAAAAGTCCATATGGAAATGGGATTATATTATACATCAAGTGGCCATTAGTCGACCTCCTAGGGCGCTCGTATGAGGCGTGTCGTTTGTTTACTTAAATTATTCTATCTTAATATAATGATGTGCAAATTTTCGAGAAAAAAAAAGTGGCCATTAGTATATGACGAAGATGAACGAGTATGTAAACGTGTGTATAGTGCCAACGAGCTGAATAGGCTTCTGCAGGCCTGCCTCATTTTTGGGCTTCACCTATAGGCTCAAGCCCACGCCATTCAGTTACCATGGAGTTCATGTGATCGCGAAGCCCATGTCTCTCTTTCGGCCGCCCAGCCACGGAAAGCGCTCGAAAGGAAAGCCCACCAAAGCCCAAGTGTGCGAAAAGCCAAAGGCAAACAGCAAACTTTCCGTTCTCGTCGACGCGCCTTTCCTTTTGCGCGCACCGCTCCGTCCCCCGCCCTCACGTTTTGCTCGCTGCCTGCCTTCGCGTTCGCATTCGCTCTCGCCGTCACAAAACCTCGCCGCCGGTATATTCTCGAGTCCCACCTTCCCCCTCGTGACGTGCTCCTCCTAAACCCTAGCTCCGGCTCAATCCCATCCTTCACCCATCTCTCCACCACCATGGACGAGGACCGGAGCGCCGATCCCGCTCGCCGCGGCCGCCTCCTCTCGCCGACGAGCGGTCAGCCCCAAACCCCGCCACAGACACAGCCCCAGATCCCCATGGACCTCGCCTCCCAGTACCAACGCCGCTTTGCGCCGTCGGTTTTCCTCCCACCGATGGCGCCCCGCCTGGCATCCAGCTCCGGCTTCTCGGCCTTCAGCAACTACCAGAGCCTGCCGACGACGCTCGCGCCCGCGGCGGGCGCCGGATCGCATCTTGCTCGGTCTCTCCCGAAGCCGCCGCTCTTCTCCGTGGACTCTCTAGCTCCGCTCCCGTACTCCACCGGTCCAGCGGCGGGGGCGGCGGTCCCGCGTTCCCCGCCGTCGCCCGGCGGCTCCGAGCAGCAGGTGCCGTCCGCGTACGGCCTGCCGCCGCGTGGGGCGGGGCACCGGAGGTCCCGTAGCGATTTCCTCGTCGGGTTCTCGCGCCCGAACCAGCTGCCGGTTCCGATGACTCCTGCGGCTGGGGAGTACAGGTCGAGGGATGCCTCCGTACTCGAGGAGCTATTCCGCTCGTACAGGGATCCGAACCTCGGTTCCTCCGGGTCCGGGGATAGCAAAAACGAAAGGAACGATCACCTAAGCAGCAGCCAACAACGCGTTTGGAGCCCCGCTGATAGCAGCGAGACTGAGGCTGAGAGCTGGGCGGCTAGTGGCAATGGCAACGCAGACAGCAGCAACGCTAACCATCCTCGCCATTGCCGCAGCCTGTCTGTGGACAGCATCATGAGCAATCTCAACTTTGGAGGCCCGGGCCAGGTTTCTCTGAGACTGCCGCCTCCGTCTCCGGTGGCAGTCGCCGGTGGCAGCTTCTCGCGCACTGGAACCGGAGCATCGGGCGGTGCGGTTGCGACTGCTTCTTATGAACTTATCAACGGAGAGTTCACCGAGTCTGAGATGAAGAAGATCATGGCCAATGATCGCCTCGCTGAGATCGCACTTGCTGATCCTAAGAGGGTCAAGAGGTTCAAATTTTATTTCTGGAGTTCATATGAGAGGATCCAGCCTCCATATAGTGGTTTGGTTTGCTGAAATCCAGTATTTTTCTGGTAAAATTCGCAGGATTCTAGCTAATCGGATCTCGGCAGCAAAGTCTAAGGAGCGCAAGGTGAAGTACATGGGTGCGCTTGAGCGTAAGGTTCGTGTGCTGCAGATGGAAACTAGTACATTATCTTCGAAAGCAGCATCGTCGCAGGTTTGTTCTCTGAGATTCTGAATGTGGTGATCATTTTGTTCTTGGCCCAAGTTTTGGCACTGCTTTACTGGCTTAATATCTATTTGCAGAGGGAATGTGAGGCACTTAAAACTATGAACAATGAGATGAAGATCAGGCTGCAAGCAATGGAGCAGCAAGCACAGCTGAAAAATGGTATGTTTATGCCCCACCCCCCCAACCCAAAAAAAAAAAGCATTCACTGTTGTACCTCCTTTCTGCAATCAGCATTTTTCTGTTCCATCGGTGACTGATCTATACTGTCTTCTTGTAAAGCTTGTTTTTTTCTTTGGGTTGTAAGTATGTTGGCTTGTGTTTTCTCTTAACGCAATACCTACACAGCTCTCAAGTATCTCGCTTTCCACTGAGCAGTACGTTCTTTTATTTTGGACTTGCATGTGTAACTTTGCTTATTAAAAAACTCAAGAAACAGGAGTTTACGTTTTCCTAGATTTAGGTCTTGTTTACATCCAGCGTGTAAAGTTTTGAGATGTCACATTGGATGTTACATGGAGTGTCGCATGAGGTGTACGAATACTAATAAAAAATAAATTACAGAATCCGTCAGTAAACCGCGAGATGAATTTATCAAGCCTAATTAATCCGTCATTAGCACATGCGTTACTGTAGCAATTTATTGTCAAATTATGGACTAATTAGGCTTAAAAGATTCGTCTGGCAAATTAGTCGCAAACTGTGCAATTAGTTATTTTTTTAGTCTATATTTAATACTCCATGCATGTGTCCAAACATTCGATGTGATAGGGTGTAAAGTTTTAGGGTGGGAACTAAACAAGGGCTTATATGTGCGTTCTCTCTACATGTCAAATGTAAATTACAGTGATTATTGGTTGATCATTAGATGCATACATTTTTCTAAAAAAATGATGATTTGTAAATGATAAGTTCCCCAACTTATATGATTTCTAATCTTCTACAGTTTCCCTGAAACATATTTTATATCCTTCAGA